GGTAATAATATAATATGTAGATTTGTGATAAGGATATAAGACACGAAGAGGTGGATGGAGACAGTGGTGAAGCGGTGAAGCCGATTTACCTACTGCTGGCTAGCGGGGCTGTTCAAGGCCGCCTACGTCACTTTTTGTTTTTTATATTTTTTAACGATGGTAGGGAGGGACCGCTCCTCCTATCTGCGCCGCGTTCAAGTCTCTCCGCTCCACTCTCCCACCGCCCGTTCAAGTCTCCCGGCCTATAGCCATCTTTCTCTATTAATTTATTTAATTTATTTTTACGACCTCACGTACGCCATTCAGATAAATAGGAAAGTGCTACATATTATTATAATAAAGTATATTTTATCTTTATAAGCAATAAAACCATCTCCCCAACATAGTTATTATACGGAGAGTATTAATTTGGAAATCATTTAGAACTAAGGTGTTCTTTTATAAGAATTATATAAATATTTATTTTAATGTTTTAAAGATCATTACTGTCCTTATGTTGTGACAGATTGTAATATCTCTCATTAAATAAGTTTAAAATATATATATATATATATATATATATTATACTTAATTGATGAAATAGTTGCTCGGAAAGAGGGTGGGGAGAAGAGGTATATGCTTATCCATCTTATTAATTCTAAGGTTACATCTACATCGCCTCTTAATTTAATTTTTTTTTGTCATTTTACGCCAGACAAATTTTACGACCAGTCATTCAATTGTTCATTGTTATTATTCTTAGGGGACTAAATGTCCCAGGATAAAATTTGCTTTTCTTCTTCTTAAAATTTATTAATAGCAAATGTTTCGATATACGTCGTAGGATTTACTTAGGACTAAAAATAACAAGATAGAAAAAGTAACTGTTGATTGTTACAAGGAAAAAAAACTTAGAACAAGAGTTAATGTTAAACTGGTATAACATATCAGATATAAGTATCAGCTCTAATTTGGAAATTGAGAAATGACATGTGTATAAAAAGAATAAAATAGAAGACAAAATAAATGAAAATGTAAACAGTAAGCAATAAGTAAATAAGTAAGGAGAAACAAATAGTAAAACCGATAGAATTATGTGTTAAATAATGATGGACAACAATAATAATAAAACAAATTTTAAGTAAGAATATATTTTATTCTGTCAGGTGGAGTGAGTATAATCCAGTTACAACCAAAAACTCTACTTGCACTCTTAATTTGATTATTCCTTGTTTCTCTGTCCATTGTCTTAACACAAGTAGTGTTGCCCAAAATCGGTCTTGGTCTTGGACTTTGCAAGACCAACACCAAGGTCACCTAACTGTCGCAAGACCAAGACCAGGACTAGTAAAAAAAAACGATTTTTTAAATAAAAATTAAGGCAAAATAGTTACTAATGCTTGACAATCTTTGTTACTATATGTTAATAATTGGTATACTGAATATACTTTTGCATTTAACTATTCTAATTATCCATTCGTTCTCAGTTAGGTTTCTCCTATCTAAAAAAATACGGTAATATTTCTATAGTAATAAGCTAATAAGTAACTGCAAGACTGTTGCGAGACTCTTGCGCAAGACCATGACCAAGACTGAGTTTGCAAGACCAAGTCTCGGTCTCGGTCGCAAGTCTCGGTCTCGCATTCGGGCAACATTAAACACAAGATTCCAGCCCACAAATCAGTATATTCCTTCTCATATAACTGCTTCCTTTAAAAAATCCTTTATAATGCGAGCTACCTTGTTTTGGTGTTCCTTACCCAGCTCCATACGTAAAACCTCTTCTTTTACGTTTATATTTCCCGTTACTAACGCTTATAAGAGTATAAACCTCCTCCCATCCCAAGATATTTTATTGCTTCCCTATTCTTAAAAATACTGTAAGCTGAAGTTGGATTTAAAAAATCATAGATAATATATAATAACGTTTGCATTGGTCTATTTAATGTTTTCCCCTTTCCCTCCGGTTGAAACTCTTTGTTCCAAAATGCGGCTTTCTCAAAAATTTAAAATCCCGCCAAAAAGATCATTTGTCAAAAATTTTGAAGACGCAACTTGCGCCATGTACCTTCTGGGTACCCCTGATTTAACAAAAATCTATATATTACTTAGTTTGATTATCAGTACAATTATGTAAACACACTAATATTTATTTTTGAATAATTGTATTCGTTATACTTATCCTTCTTATTAATTCTAAGGTTACATCGCCCATTAATTTAAATTTTTCTTGTCATTTTACGCCAGACAAATGTCATTTATATTGTTCATTGTTATTATTCTTAGAGGACTAAATATTCCAGGATAAAATTTATTTTTCTTCTTCTTAATATTTATTAATAGCGAATGTTTCGATCTACGTCGTAAGATTTACTCAGGACTAAAGATAGAAAAAATAACTATTGATTGGTACAAGGTAAAAAAAAATTAAAATAAGAGTTAATGTTAAACTGATATAACATATCAGATACAAGTGGCATCTCTTATTTGGAGATTGAGAAATGGCATGTGTATAAAAAGAATAAAATTTAAAGACAAAATAAATGAAAATGTAAAGTGTAAGCAATAAGTAAACAGAAACGAATAGTAAGACAGATAGAATTATGTGTTAAATAATGATGAACAACAATAATAATATAAGAAATGATAAATAAGAATATATTTTATACTGCCAGAAAAATCGGCTGCATGTCATAAAAAAGTAACGTATCCAGTGTTATTTAATAAAAATAAAAAGAAGCAAAAAATACAAAATAAAAGTGGAGAATTATTATCACAGTATGAAGCAAGAAATAGCTGGAATATATTTGGAAAAACGAAAACTAAACGATTTACTTGAAATTCACTGTATATATAAATTGAATTTTTTTCTGTTTGTGCGTGTATTTGTTGTATTTTATTTTATAACATTCAATACCTATGCCAAACCTGTACATTTTAGGTACACGTACGAATCCACCTAAAATGGAATAGTGATAGTTTTTGAATTGCTGTCAGAGGCATATGAATGAAAAGAAAAGAAGCTTACATGGCAAGAGGCAGGATATGATGTAACCAACAGTTATTTGGAAGAGGTTCCTTGTAACAGCCTCCCAAGTGAAATTCAGTAACGGCTTCACCTTTGATAGACCAACCGGAGTCACAATTAGCTATGCCGAGCGTCTTAAAAGTGAAAAATCACTCTTAGTCTTGAAGAGTGACCCTCTAACATAAAAGAAGCTCTGATAATGGCCCTTTGATTGCGGCTATCTATCACAATCAAAATCAGAGGTCACATTACTGCCTTATAGATGTGCTCAGCTCTACACTTTAATTACTTTTAATGACAAGTCTCCTTATATTTCTCTTCTTAGTTAGCCTTCGAATGGTCGTCTTTCGGTACTCACTACTTAATGGATATCATTCCTTTTAATTTTCAGTCAGGCGGTGCCGTTTTTGTTTTATTTTAGAAACCAGCTTTCATTATCCGAAATATCTCGAGTGCAAGAGTTCTACGAGATTTCTCTTCTGGTTCATTCGCTCATTCCAAACGTAGTTATTTTTTCATTATTTTCGGCTTTTACCGAAACAGGTTAAACATACAGAACAACCATTACCATTATAAGTAATGAAACATTTAACGTTCTTCTGGTGTTATTGGATCTGTTAAAGTTCAGCGTTGGTTTGTAGAAGAGTTGTCTAATTAAAATTAAACCCTAAAATTACTTAATATAAAATATCATAAATCCGATTACACTTTATAAAGTTTGATCAATTTCGGTTAATTAAGTTGATTAGATCATATGATACTTAGTTTTTGCAAACTTTATAATTATTAAATTTTTCAACCACCCAAAAAAGAAGTGTAAATATTACTTACTACGTGGGAAAATAATTTTGAATATCTAAGGTCCAATTCTGGTTAGAATAAGATACTGTTTTATCTAGATCTATTGTATAAAATTTTTTTATGTCATTAAAAAATTAATAAATATATCTGCATCTACCTTAGAATAAAGCTCCCATTTCCAAAACATTGAAATTTTACTGACTAAATAATAAAAAAAAAATCATAGCATTTGTATTAATCGTGAAACCTTTTAACTTTCAAGGAATTTATATATACCATGAGGTTTATTCAAAATGAAGACCAACTTATTTAATTTGGCCTACTCTTGTAAGCACGTATCCGTTTCCTAGTAACTTTTTAGATGAAAATTATGTTAACTTAATTAATAATTTAGCAAACAAATTTTTGGACTTTAAAATTGTATTTATTCATTTTTGTTTTGATGATGGAATCAATCAAATCGATAAAAGAAATTCATGGTGATATCAATGATATAGTCTTTTTTAAGTTGAAACAAAGTTGTCAGGATTTACAGTCAAGAATTGTTATATTTATTATAATAAAAAATCTTGACTGTAAATCCTGACAATTTGTTTGTTTATTTTTGCTTTAAGGCGTAAAACCCTCAGGTAATGTGTCAGCCTGTGAGTCGGTTATATTTGTAAAATGTTTAGAAAAGAAATTAAAAAAAAGAATGAATAATCACAAATTAATAATAGATAAATAGAATAATAAATGAAAAAGATATTTAAAAACATATAATCAATGAAACATATTAAAATGAATATAAAAAAAAAGAAAGCGCAATAAAATAAAAAAATTATTTATTTTTATATTTTATTTAATAGCCTATGTATTTTAAGAAAATTTATCACTGTTTTTATGCTTGATTCGTTGTTGCTTATTGCTTATTTTTATATGTAAACTATTAATTTTATTCCCCTAATTAAATGTTCTTGGTTTAAATTTAACGCGTTGAATCGGCACCTACATCAAAGCCAGATATTTTTATTCTTGCCTAACCGACTAATGGATCATATTTTTTTTCAATTAACTCTTTATACCTCATTTTGTTTGTTTACAAAACGCATTAACGCTTCTGTTTTTATTTCTACACATTTACCGTCAATCTTATCCAACATTGCGCAACAAAAGAGATGGCCAAACCGATAGACTATGAGGAGGGGAAGGAATGCTGGAACGAGGACACGTTCGGTCATCCTTAATGGTCATGGAACTTCCTGGATCTTCCATAAACCGTATCCTGGAGGTTTGTACCATGAACTGGCAATCCTTGGAATTGACCTAATGTGTTTTGTTTTGTCCTCTTCGCTTCCATTCAAGTGCCGACATTAACCTGTTCTCCGTATCCCATCAATTGTTATTCTTATTCATATTTATATGTTTTACTCACAGGAAACAATATAACATGTAGTTTACCTAGTGTACCTGTTACCGAAGAAATAAAATGTATGTTCTTGTGTAGGATAAAAAAAAAAAAAATGGTTACTTAAAAATAATTGAAACTTGTAATATTTTTAACCTAAAAAAATCTCTTAGTTCTAATGAAAAAAATAACTCAACTTCTGATTGAGCAGGTGAACCACCCAAGTTTTTATCATATCATTTAGTGTTGTTGGCAAAATATATATGATTTCTCAACAAAAAAAAATATTGAAGTAATTTTGAAGAAGAAAATAATGATTTTTTAGACTTTTGATTTTCAAAATACACTTTCTTTTTATTAAAAAAAGAAATGTGTCAAAACAAATATCACCCTCGTTTGTTATTATTTATTTTTTTAAATATTTCTATACATACAAGAGAATAATGAAAATGAAAAGAATAGTTAATAATAACAATTTCCCAAAAATATATTTATATCTTTATCTATCAATGCTATATAATTTACCTGGTATATAATTGTTAATTAGATAAGAAATATCTTCTGAACTATAAAGTTATTCATAGTAGTCACCATATCTTTATTTTTTTTTTCTATCCAAATATAATCCTTTTTTTTCTATTCTATTGTATAACATAACATTAAATAGTGGTAAATATATAATAATATGAACTGAAGGAACTAAGATACATGCATTTTCGTTGTTATTTTATTTATTTACTAGGCATTAGAATGGTTTAATTATAATTAACCTATTTATGGTAATTAAGGTAATGTCTCAGATTTATACTAATCGATACGTTACTCCGTTGAAGGATTTACAGTCTTTTCAAAGCTAATAATCATCATTATTTTCATTTAATAGCTTTTACTTGACTATATGTTTACCATCTAGGGATGCAGTAAGAATATAAAATATGCGAGGTGAAATAACAAAGTTGCATATTTTATATTTTCCAATTTGTTTATAAACATAAAAAAATATGTAATCTACTATAATTTTATTTCATGTATGAATAGTAATTTTATAGCTTGAAAGGGTAATAACTTTTCATGATTATGTTTTTTTTCTTTAAATTTTAAATTGATTGTTTTATCCGAAAGCATACAGATATTTACTAACCAATGATTTACAATTTTACTCATATTTTGTTGCTATTCTAATATTTTAACAGAACTTATTTTCTTTGTTTGTCGCTTAAGAATGATTTACAAATATTTCTTTTAACCTTGGCATGCGTAGTTTATGGAAACCTCCACGACCCATCACGCCTTGGTGTATTTAATATATATACATTACATTCACTTCACTATTAGTGCTTAGTAATAGTTAACCTTAGGGTTTATTGCACTTTATTTTAATATGCAATAAAACAAAATTAGATATCTGCTGTTGCACTTACACGAGTTTCGTAACCGTTTTCTCTACCAAGTCCAATACAGACATTACTTTATCCAATATATGGTTTTGATTATATTTTATTTTATGTTTAATTTTTACTGTAATATTTGACTTATTAAACGACTTATCTATCTTTCAATAAAGCATATTTGATATTCTGAAAGATTTTTAGTATTCCTGTTATTTAAGGAACTAAAGAAGATTGATAGAATTTTCATAAGAATCTAAGCAAAATGCTTAATAAATACTTTCGAAAAAAGGTACTAAAAATGTTAATGAGCCGTGTCTTTACTAAAAATTCGTATTTTGGACAAGGAGAAGGAAGGTGGCTCTAAACATTAAAAAAAAAATCGTTGAAAATCTACATAAAAAATTGACCCAAAGCAAACTTTCGTGTATTTTCTACAAAGTGACTATAGAATTATTTTATGTGCTAGTACGAAAAAATAACGGTTTAACAATACAGAACAAAAGAATTAATAAAAATAATATTGGAGATTATTACAATAATTAGTGTGTTATAACGATGAGGAACAATTATTGGTTTATTATTTTCAATAATGAAACCTTGTGATCGACCAAAAAATTCAAAAACATAACCCCCTCTCAAAATTTGAGGTTTCACGTTTCAATACGCGTAGAATTCGAAAAACGAATAAAAATGTTTTGGTCCGTCCACCGTCCTCGCATTTTCTCCGAAACTACTGGACCGATTTTTTTCAAATTTTGATATAAGATCAGAGGTCACCCGAGGATGATCCTCCTTCATCGACATTACTCTCCGCCATTAACTTTCAAAATGGCGGCCGAAAAACCTGCGTTGCTATAGACTGTAGCTCCTAAACGAATGTACAGATTTCAATGAAACTTCACTAAAGCCATTTTCTCGACGCCCTTTAAATTTATCTATATAACACACTTATCGTTATCTATATAACAAAAAGAAGCTGAAAAAAAAGTTACGGGGGATGGTAAAATTAAATTCCGAATAACTCGAAAAGTTTTTCTTTTTTGTTGACATTGTAGTTTTTTAAAAGTTTACGAAATTTCCTAAAAAAAAAAAAAAATCGTTAAAATCGGACAATTAGGAGCAAAGATATGGTCTCTGGTTTTTTTTATGTGTTCTACTCCAAATGATATATCCTAGGTATGGTTTTTTAACTTTAAATGTGTTATTAACTAATGCTATTTTTTTTTAGCATATTACTAATGATTAAAGAAAAACAGTTTAGTTCAATACATCTTTTGTTTTTTTTCCTTTGTAACTCGGAAGGTAATGTTACTTTAGATGTATTATTGTTTGGAAATAATAAACCATTGTGAAATAATTTGCAGCGTTTTTTTTTTATGAATGAGGAGATGGTAGGGAGTTCCAAAAAAAAAATAATAATATTTTAACTTATCTTTTTCTACCACTACAACTTTCCAACTGTACTACCAACTACTTCACCAAATATTTTTTTTATTTTTTAATAGTATTAAGTACAGGGAATGTATTCTGATAGAAATAGCTAATTAAAATAAAGGAGATTGTTAATAATAATTTCTAATTACTTCAAAAGATTACATTTGTTCTCTGTTATATATTAGAACACAACGGAGCTTTCTTCTATATTTTAAAGGTATGGATCTTTAAGAAAGCTCAATGAATCTCGGATTAAAGATGTACAGTGTTATGACAAAGATAGTACTGAGATATACTAAGAAATCTGGAATCTTACCATCACTAAAGAAAGAAGAATTAGAAGATTTGAGAAGAACATTCTCCACACGATAACCGAAACGATCTTAGATAGGCTACTAACGCATCGAGGAGTAAGACCAATAAAGAACCGCTTACAGAAACTGGTAAATCGATATCTTCTGATATGAAAGAACTTAATATAACTGGCATGCAGCTCGGAACAAATGAATACCTCAATAATAGACTAGAGACTAGGTGAAAGGTCAAAAACCAGATGGATGCATTGAATCAATAAATATGTTATATAGCTTATACTGATAACTGAAAATAATTGTCCCAAGATAGGCAGAAGTGGTTTGTCAAGGTTGATCAAGATCAATTAAACCAAAAGAAAAAATATATAAGACTTAGTTTGAGGAAGGGAGCGGGGTAGCTCAGTTGTAGGGCACTAAGTTTTCAATGCTCTCCAGGTCCCAGGTTCGAATCCCGGCTCATGGCAGATAAATTATTGATTCTTTCATTGGCCATGGGACGACCCTGGGATAGGAAGACACTCCTGTGGCACATCTAGGGATACCCTTAATTGAATAATTGATCAAGGAGGAAAACCTGGCGGTTGAGTATGATCCTGGCCCGATCATCTCCCTGCACAACCGATAGGCTTGAAATTATTGTTCAAAACAAATGATTTTTTGTAATAAAAATATATTTAGTATACTAACATGGATATATATTAAACTTATGTAAGGAACAATCCTATAAAATCAGTAGCTGCCTTGTTTGAAGTAATTGTGTTATTATATAGATCGCATATAACCAAAGATAAACTCTTTAAGTAGTTTTTTTTTTTTTGTACTGCGCCGCCCTTGGTACTGAAGGGTATTCCCTCATTTCAACTGGCATAACTGAGTGTAGCTCTCGGCTAGAATAAGAGGACTCATAGAGGATTCCTCAAAGGGAACTGACGACAGAGGCCTTGAGTACCAGAGACAATCTCACCGCAAGTCCTCGCTAGGATTTTGGCCTTTTTGCCCTCCCAAGGTCCTTCGAGACAAATTGGAGGTGCTCTACCACGCTCAATCTTCGCCACCGCCTTACCTGGGAGAAAAGGAATGAGACTCTAACTGCATGTCCTTTGGGATTGTGTTGGCTTCCTTATTAGCAAAACCTAGGAAAGGGTCGAGGCCTTGATGCCCTGTTTGTTCTTGTATTGTTGTTGATTAGGTTTCCACTTACAGTCGGTCGTTCGCCTGATAGTTACCGTTGAATAGTTGGTGGGTCAAAAGCGATAGAAGCAATGTAGAAAATGGAGCACGGGCTACAAGTTAATATGTATTTTTGTCATTATTTTTGGTAGGCATCTCACACACACATACGGAAAAAGAATTTCGAAGGTATTCTGTTTTATAATAAGTTTATATACAGTTAATATTAATTTTCGGCAAATTAATTAATTTAAATTAACTATCATTAATTGGTAAGATAAGGAAATATTATTTTTTGGCCAAGAAAAAATATAAGGAAGTGATATTGCCGTTTATTCCACTCTCCTAACAAGTTTTACTCCGTCCCAAGGCTTTGTGCTTCCTCAAAAGGGTCTACCAACCCTAGAGTCGATCACCGCTGATATAAAAGAATGAAAATTTTTCTATTGGATACAGCCAAACTCGAACCCAGGTACGGAAGTGAAGGTATCCCAGTACCCATAAGATAAAAATATAATATCCCATAGTTTTCTGTAACCTTTATATCTTCGGAAAGTGCAAGGAAGAGGTAAAAATGGATAAACATGTATATATTTATTGTAATTAGAATAGTAAAACCGCTGCAGCAGGAAACAAATAAACCTTGTATGTTCTTCGTTTTTAGCCCTAATGAAGACCTCCATAATCGGGTCTATAGTTGGGACATACTTACAACAATTTTAAGTTTTCCTTTATGACCATCACCTTGAACAATATTAATTTTTTCCTCAATATTATACAACGATCAACTGTTTAGTACTCGAGGAAAAGAATGATTCACATAATCATGAATATAATAGGACAAATCTTAAGAAACGATTAAAAAGGAAGGGAATATATAGCCTTTGTATCTTGTTTGTTTTAGCCCAGATAAATACCTGCATTTTTGTGTCGAATCGTCAGCTTAATAAATTAGTTTAAACTGTTTAGTTCTTGATGACCCGGTCCATACCTTCCTTCAGTAATATAATTTATTTTATTTTTACTGATGTTGCTGCTATAAATTCAGGGGCAATCGTTTCCTCAACACCATGTCATGGTGTCCAGTTTATTCCCTTAGAGTGTAGAATCGCTTTATATTGAGCCAGTAGTAAGATACTTGGATTTATTCACTAGACTTATCGTAAGATCGAGTGAAATAAGAAGGACTCTGAGACATAAAGCATGAAGCTATACAGAGATCTCCACCCAAGTCGTGGTGCAGCACCTCAAACTGGTTGCTGACACAGTGATGCAAGGAGAGCGCTATCCTTGAACTTGACTCGAGGAGGAAAATACGCCTCAGGGAGTGGGGAGGAGGTACACCCTCCCGATGAATTAACAGGCAAAAATAAAAACAGCATTAGCATGGGCAGCATTCCTCAACCGGGTCTTTTCGCAGCTTCTTTTTCTGTTTATTGCACATAATATAGGATCCGACCAGTTTTTTAGTTGTTTTTAAACATCAATTAGCAGGCTCCGTTTAGTTTTGTTGGATGTTATATTCTATTTATAACCTGATATCTTAAATAACCTGTTATTTCGATGAAAATCACAGTTTTTTTATTCTAGAATCTGCATAACTAGACTCCCTCATTTCTGAAGTTTATTTCGCTATAGCTTATAGCAAATCTATTTGGCTTCAATTATATATCAGGCGTGTTAGGACATATATTTTCATGGATGATAAATAGTCAGGAGACAGTCATTTTCAAGGTTTTTATTTTATTTTATTTTATTTTAAAAACTTTTAAAATAACTGAGTCCTAGCAGTCGAATAACTTCCTTCGATGACATATATCTTCGTTATAAAGTTATTTTGGAGGTGATTCAAAGTAGCAGAGATAGGCAATTCCCAGTGTTTCTTATCTCGTTTTTATATATCTTTAGTTACTTTAGATGGGTGGATAGAGAAGTGAAGGAACTAAGATAAAAATGTATGAATAACACAAATATTTATTACATTACCTAAGTTTTAAACACTATCGCGACTTATTTAAAATTATATATATATATATATATATATAATTTCCAACTTATTCCAAGTCAAATTCAATTTTTTAAAGTCAAAACCAATTTTTCCAAGTCAAATTCAATCTTTTCAAACCAAATTTCAAATTTTTCATTTCAAATTCAACTTTCGATTTTTTGTAATTTTCCGATTTTTTTTTCAAATTAAGGATCAATTACTATATCATCGAAGGAGTAATTTTGAAAAATACTATACATTTTTGATGAGCAGTCGTATATCAAGTTATTATTACTTTTCATAATTATTTGATATAGCCTTTCCATTTCATATCTAACATTTTCCTAATCAAATCCAATTTTTACCAATACAAATTCAATTTTTTCCAAGTCAAATTAATTTTTTCCTAAGTCAAATTCAATCTTTTTCATGTCAAATGTCAAAAGATATGATAAAGTTTCAATATAAACTTGATATAAAAAAATAATTATACAAATGAAGTCTTAAAATAAAGGGAAGTGGTTATTGTAATTTCGGAATTATTCACTTCATAGCCAGATAGCTCAAAGATTTTTTTGCTATATTCTATAAAAAAAAAATATATGCTCATAAAATTATTCTCAATGAATAATAACAGTTTTCCAATATAATAAAAAAAATATCAAATTGGAATTAACACAGGTGTTGATAATCGACAGGTTCAATCATCAAAACTATCAGCTAATCAACAAAGGTTTCTTCTGATAAATATTTCATTAGATACATTGAACTAACGTAGAATTTTATTAAAGAATGGAAAATATATTATGAAGAGTCAACAGTTGCACGAGCATTATTAAATAGGCCTGGTCTAAGGATGGGCAGGACGCCTGAGGACCGGCTCCGGCTATGACTTGCGGTTTGGGTGAGGCTACGCGGGCAATTATACTAGAGTGGTGATGGTTATATAACAGAACTAGGTGGAGGTAGCGTCCACTGTCGGCATTCCACGACTAGGAGGAAAACTGGATATGACTAACCGGTCGGGTCTTCAGGATATGGTTGTCGGTGTGAACAGGTGGATAAGCTATATCTTGGCAAGTTAATGAAGGCCGAGCATAGCAAGATTGGGAGAGTGAAAACGGCTCTAAATAGTTATCCAAGGTATATTGGAATCTATAGATACTGGAGCAACTATTACTTAGAGAATATTAATATTACATGTTGCAACAGTTACAGATAAATAAAATAAAAAATACATATAAATGTGTGCTATAAATAAATATAGGTGCTTTAAAACAAATAAATGTACATGTATGATTCTTAATTTTCAACTTTTGCAACGATACTTCTGTCTCTAGTTCCCTTGTACTTGATATTGTAATATCTAAGTAGTTATTGTGTGCTTTATTGTTTAGTCATAACGGTGTTTAAAAATTATTGTTATATTTTGTGTTTTTTTCAGCTGAAAATTACTTCTAAAATATTAAAACCTCAAAATATAGTTAGTTATTTGCTGTGGCGAGTAAGTGTCATTTTAGTTAAGTAGCGTTCTTATTGTATCAAATTTTGTGACTTACTCAGTTTCTTGGGTAATATTGATGAAGAAGGAGGCGAAGATTCTTGGAAACCTTCAATAAATTGCAATCAAAGACTCATTAGATTAATTTATTCTGACCATAGGAAAATGTATCACTGTTGTCATGTAAAATGTATCAAGGACAAAGGTCAAATCTTCATTATGATAAAATAAATGTATTCATTGTTAAGGAAATATTTTTGATAAAAGAGACATTGAAGCTATACTTTGACGTTTAAATAAAAAAAACGCTGCAAATGATTTCACAATGGTTTATTATCTCCAAACAATTATGCACCTAAAGTAACATTACCTTCCGAGTTACAGAGAAAAAAAAGGTGATTCCAATTATTAGACTAAACTGTTTTTCTTTAATCATAAGTAATATGCTAAAAGAAAATAGCATTATTTCAGTAAAACATTTAAAATTTAAAAAACAAACCAAGGATATAACATTTTGAGTAGAACACATAAAAAAACCCATAGATCACTTTGGCTACTAATTGTTCGATTTTAACATTTTTTTTTTTAGGAAATTGCATGAACTTTTAAAAAACCATCTCACAATAACAACAAAAATGTAAAAACTTTTCGAGTTATTCGGAATTTAATTTTAACATCCCTCATAACTTTTTTTTCCAGCTTCTTTTCGTTGAAGTATGTTATATAGATAAATTTAAAGGGCGTCGAGAAAATGACTTTAGCGAAGTTTCATTGAAATCTGTACATTCGTTTAGGAACTACAGTCTATAGCAACGCAGGTTTTTCGGCCGCCATTTTAATAGTTAAAGGCGGAGAGTAATGTCGATGATGGAGGATCATCCTCGGGTGACCTCTGATTTTATATAAAAATTTGAAAAAAATCGGTCCAGTAATTTCGGAGAAAATGCGCGGACGGCGGAAGTACAAAATATTTTTTATTCGTTTTTCGAATTCTACGCATCTTGAAACGTGAAACCACAAATTTTGAGAGGGGGTTATGTTTTTGAATTTTTTGGTCGACCACAATGTTTCATTATTGAAAATAATAAACCAATATGTAGTAATGAATTGTTTTTATTGATTTTTTTTTATTTTCAACCAGCTTTTGCTGGCCATTAGAAATTACCAGTGAAGTTTAAAGACTTTAATGTTTTAAAATCATTTACAGCTGAGAAAACACAAACAGTTGAAATTTTAAAATCACTTCATTGAGCACTGAGCAAACGGCAACATGCACTGAATTACTTTTACAATATTATTGAGAGAGAATGGAGAAAATTGATTTTTCAACCATAAAAACCATTGCACTACTGTTGCTGCGAACGATTGTTTATTCTCAATTTTACATGTTTATTCTCTCTGTCCTAAAGGTGATATTTTGTAG